ATTATTAATAACCACAAGAAAAGTCGCGTAATATAAATTTTATGCATCAAATTAAAAAAAAAAACGCATAATACTGATTATAAGCAAATAGACTATGTCTGAATATTTCGAACATTACTACTAATAAATGGAACATGCAAAAATTATTTGGATGCAGAGACTTATTAAAATTCAATTACATGAAGGAATAGTTTACCAAATCAAGCAATAGAATGACTCGCTGTTTTTCCTAATAAACAATATATGGTAGATGTAACACACTTTTTTTGCATTTGCAAACGTTATTACTTTTATTTTCTTTAAATTTTCATTCAATTTGTGCATTACAAGACTATTTCCAGACAAAAACTTAATTATAATCCTTAAAAAGATATTCTCATTGATTGCAATCCCAACATAAAGAATTCTTTTCGAACGCCTCAAATAAGTTAAATTCGAGATTCTGCATTGAATAAATTAATATTTCCCTAGTAAATAAAAACTTTTCGCGATCTAATTATACAGAACATAACGTGTATAATTGAAGTAAAGTGAAGTGCCAAAACACTACATTTTGTACGGCGCCATTCGTCTTATCATCTGTTTGGTTGAGTACAATCTCCGTAAAATAACGACCGTCTTTAAAGCAATGCATAATTGACGAATGTCAACAATACGCACTATTTGATCGTTAGTTATGAACTGCTATGCCACAAATATTCGCATATACTTACTGATAAGACTTTTTCAGTACTATTTTTTAATACTACAATCAGAAGCTTTCATAACAAAGTATCTATACTCATATTCGTGAAACTGAAATATCTAAAACAGATTAATCATGAGCGATTCCATGTTTTTCTTAAATTTTTAATGCATTTATTTTAGAATTCTGATTCATATCTTTAAGCAACATCACTCGATCACATACGAACTTCGTTGTAAAGTGAAAAAAAATAGCACAAATTCCTGCAATAATAAATACCGAAATACTGGAAAAAAAGCCGAAAACATAAGTTACGAGCAATTAAAATGCTTCAAACATTTTCTGCAGAAAATAAACCCTTCAGATGATCTCAATTCTTCATGCATACATTTGCATTCTATGAATTGGAAAATATAATCAATTCATACACTAATACGTTGGATTATTCTAATTTGAGTCATAAAATTACCAATCAGATTGAAGAAAGAATGCAACACTTGCACATATGTAGAAGAATGAGTAATCGTCAACTACAATAATTCAACACTCACAATATTATTAGCATTCTGCAATTACAAAAGTTACACTATGAAAATTCATATCTCAGTTGTATAATATATACAATAATGCTTAATATTGCTAGCATGTATTATTCCTCGAACTAATGCAATTGTTGGTTTAAATGGCTGAATAGCTTGTACACAAATATTAGAAAGTATTAAAATTTATGCAAAGATTTTAATGCATATAAGAATGAATAAAAGTGGTGGTAAAGGTGACAACAAGAGGGAATAGCAATAAGTGATTGATAAGTTTGCTTACTCATTTGTGAATACAATTTATAGATGCAAGAATAGCTTGTACATTAAAAAGCACGAAACAAGACTGATATCTTTAATATTTGATAAATGTTTGAAAGAAAGCCGCCAGGTTTAGTCACCATTTCAATGATACAATATACATCAGCACACTTATACACCCACTACTTCTTGCCAACTTTTGTCATACTTTAGAATGTAAATTAAATTAGCAAATAAATACCAATGACTCACTGGTGCATATTTGTGATAATCTCTGAAGTGAATAAATTCACTGACATAATTTGAAAGTTATGTAATAATTCAAAATGTAACTGAGCAGTTTACTAAAAGCAGTCAATAGATTAATTAAAATTAATTTTCATAGTTTTCATAAAGTCGCAATCAAAATCAATCAATTACTTTTATCAGGCTTAAAATTTGCTCTCAGCGAATATTCAGACTTAATAATGCAAATAAGTAACTATCACTTCCACTTCTTCGTATGCCACAATTGACTACTGTAAGTTATTACTACTTTCTAAATGATTCGCTCACTTTCTCTCAGCACAGCTTGATTTGAAAAAATAGAAAGTTTCTATCAAATGTAACTGAATATCTTCCATCAATTCATAAACAATCATAAAACAGCTGTGAAGTAACTGTAAACGGAAAAGAAAGCAAAGAAAAGGCAAAAAATTCTCATAACATTTGCTGGCAAAATCAATACATCACCAAATGTTACCATACAAATTGTACAAATAGCTAGCTAACACACAACACGTTCAATAACGTTACCAAATTATGAACATTACTCACAACCGAATTAGTCCGATATTAGAGCAATTAAATTTTAAGTTGTTAAATTAAGTAATAATAATAACAACAATGATATTAATATTAATAATTATTATTATAATTTAAGCTATGTTTTTAACAAGAGTTAATAGTCTTAGACAAAAATAAAATAAAATAGCAAATAATAATGTACTAAAAACAATTTATGGAACTTTATCAGTTAAAATTTCAACTTTTACAAGAAATAACTTACTTTAATGTTTATATAATAAATTATCAAAAAGTAGTAGTGGAATGAAAATGAATGAATTCAGAAGACACATTGATGATGATCGATTACAGGCTGGTTAATGATATTGTCAAATTCAAATAATAATAATTACAACGATAAATGTCATCCACCAAATATCGATAATTGCATATAATGATGATAATCATTTTCAAAAGAAATGCAAAATATGCAGTACACGCATAAATGAAAGTGTGAAAATGATCAGCCAAATTGTATTATAAATTAACTCAGCGAAAATTCCAGTAATAATTATCACTAACGACGTAAGAACACGTCACGAATGTATCACAAAACATGTCTCTAGAAGAGTTTATCACTTTCATGAATTATAGTGCGAGTACAAAGCTAAGGTATAATTCTGAAAGAAGGAAAGAGTAAAAGTAAGAACTTTCCTTGCCTTAGAACTAAGCATTTATTTCACATTTACTTCAGCTGCGAACAACTCGCTTCTTGTTATAAAAATTATTACTTCAAAGTAAAAAGATTAATCGAAAAGTTATTTTGCGAATGAGATTACTTATTCTATTCGTTAATTCGTAAGTTACGTAATTACAACTGAATACAAATTTTTCGACAATTTATGTCAAAAAAATGACTCAATTAAAAGAATATTATTCACACTTATATAAATAATTTAAAAATTAGCCTCCTAACATATTCAAAGGTAAAAGTAAATATGAGTGGAACAATTGTGCTCAATTCACTTACGTTGTACCACCTTCTGACACTAAAGAGCAACGCTGACAAAGTTACGTACGAGTGAATCAATGAAAATATCTCATTTGATACACTACAATGTTCAGATTTAAAATTAAAAAAAACACAATTTTCTCGACGTTCACGCAAATTCCGTGAGTTTCAAAATTTTCAGCATATTTCAGATGGCATATTTGATGGTTTTCATGAGAAATAGATAAGTCTACTTGTTCAGTGTTCAATGTTCACTAAAGATAGTACGCACAAAACAGATAGAAATTAATTTGTTTGGAACAGTTGGGAATAGCATGACCTTCAAAAAGAGTACTTGGAAACGTCTTGAAGTAATAAAAGACTGAAATAAACGGAGTTCACGGAATATTCTCACATATATATTTAACGATATTCTTACTAAAATTACTGGTGATACACTAATTTTTCACTTTCAATCTTAAGAGAAACAAAGATGACCTTGATTGACCTTTAGCAAGCAAAAAAAAGTTAGAACTGTAATTTCATACTTTGCTATCAATCATGAAATAATTTATTTTCTTTAAAGTCCTAAGAGAAGCAAACCAAGATTTTAAAAAAGTCAACTTTAAAATTTCTCCCTTTGAGCTAAAATACTGACTTCAGTGTGACTTAGTTAATGAAAACTTAAGGAATCCCTTTTTGACAGTAACCATTTTTTAATAATTTTTGTACTTTATTACTGTAAGTATTCTGTAAAAATTTTACATCAAGCATGTGCTCCTAATCGAAAACATCAATGCATTATTCCACTAAATGTTATTGAAATCAAAAAAAAAAAAATTTTAAAACGAAAAATAAGCGGTAGAGTGCTTCTCCAAGCAGTTACTCATAGTTTATCAGACTTTCACTTTGAGTAAAACTTTGATAAACTGTCGATAATTTTACTGGAAATTTTAAATTTCAAACCAGCAATTGTTACTTAATGACAAACTTCAAAAACATATAAAATAAATTGTAGTTTAGTATATTATTTAGGATATTCAGGCAATAATAATCATAAACAAGCTTATAAATTATGATATATAATTAATAAAATAAACTATTTTGAAAAGGTGATAAAACTCGCCGATAGATTCAAATGAAAACGAGTTTGAGCCTTCCTCTCGTTTTACAACAAAATTAATTGTACACACTTTTTGTTAATATTAGAAACTGCCACTTTCAGTCAATCCCTTTTTGCAACAAAATTAAACAGTGAAAAAATAAATGGAAAGTGACAAATTACGTACACATTGTAATACTTTGATAAACTCGCATGTAATACTTACTTACTTACTGATAAAACACTGAATTATTTCACAAAAGATTAAAAATGTGACTTTTCACGCAGCTGTATTCGTACTTAATTTTACTGACTATTACTGTTCATAAAAGGCGTTGTAATGGAGTTGAAAATAGCAAAAAATGCTTGATAAGTTTTACTG